TAAGCCCAAACCAACTGCCAAATTTGAGTACAATTAACGAATCTAAGAAATGAAAGATGGATGGAGAGACAAAGAAAGGGAGAGAGAGAGGGAGAAAGGAGGGAGAGAGAGATAGAGAGACACAGATAGAGAGATATTGATGAGTAAGAAAAGAGATACAGATAGAGAGACATAGAGGAGTAAGAAAACAACTTAGCACCCGGGGTGGGGGCGGTGCGGGCGGTGCGGGCAATGTCCGCAAAAGTAAGAAATGTTGTAGGCAACCTGACACAGAGCACTCGCATAAACTCAAACAAACAATCAAGAGAGGGAGAGAGCACCAACAAAAGAGCAAAGAAAGTGAGGAATTGAAGAAAGTGACAAATTGAGAAATCCAAAAAAATAAATAGAAGAAAGGGCGAGGAGACACAGGTGCAAACAAAGAGAGACAAAAAGAAAGGAAAAAATAGAGAGAGAGAGAGAGAGAGAGAGAGAGAGAGAGAGAGAGAGAGAGAGAGAGAGAGAGATGGATATGTATAGAGAGATAGAAAGAGATACAGATAAAGAGAGAGAGAGAGCACCAACGAAAGAGCAAACAACAAAGAAAGACCAAGATGAACATTAAAAAAAAAAAGTTTAATATCGACATTATTCATTCGATTAAAGTGAGGAATTGCCCACACTATGGTCAACGCAAAATTATTGCGTAATTGAATCCAAATTGACTTAAAAAAACATAATAATGTTAAGGCAAGATTGTTTCCCCCCCCCCCCCCCCTCTCTCTCTCTCTCTCTCTCTTTCTCAAAAAAATTATGATTAAGGCAACGTATGAACGACTGCCCAATCAACACCTCTCTCTTCCTATCTCTCTTAGTAGAGATATCAAGTTCCTTCATTGAAACAATACTCTTGCAGCAGCTCACGAATAGAAACTTGTTCCAACACTTTGCGACGATACTCCTCAAAAGTTCCGAATCGAGTCTGTCTTTGTCGATTGCAATCGAGATGAATGGCAGCATCCACACATCTCCAAGTGTTCATGTTCGTATTCAAATGCGCTGATGCTTACACAATATCTTCCACCTTGCAAGAACTGTCAAGATAGGACAAGTGTGCAAATGTCTTTTTGGGACCAACAGATTCAAGAGAGTCATAGATCGCAATGTTAAAATTAGAAGAACTTGGTTGTTCCAAGGGTCCTGTATAGACATGGAGATAGTCTCTCGATGGCGTGGGAGCAGGCACAATACAACCGACAGGAGACGGAGTAGCCGTAGCGGCAGGCGAAGCAGAAACAACAACAGAAGTAGTGACAATCGGCGTTGACATGTTGGATGGGGGAGCATAATCTGGAAGACGTTGAAAAGTTGGAGGAGATGCTGCTGGAAGGGGGAGTCTACGGACCGGAGCGGAATGAGGAGTGGAAGAACGAACCATCGGAGGAATTTTTTTTAAAAGGCGTTGTATCCGTGCATATCTGAAAAAAGGTTGGGGAATAGGCCCTTCTGTCGGACAATATGGCAAATCAAACGTCATCCTAGCGATCTCCTCATTAGAGAGAGCAATGAACTCGTCCTGCAGAAGGGATTGTAACATCCAAGAAGCCTCCAAATCTGAAACATTCAATGGGTTTGAAGGAAGAGTCTCAGGGGATTTTCGTTCCAACCGCATATCTGTGAGTTTGCTTTTTTCCCAGTCCAAAAACTTTTTTCATATATTTTCATCATTTGCAACGCTCGCAGTTTGGACAAACATTTCAAAAAGCACCTTAATCAAGACTTTTTTCAGGCCAACCTTCTTCGCATCGTCGAACCATTTGCCAAGGTAAGCACGCGGATTCGGAGTGTCGATTGTGGGTGCACCCTTATCATGAGGCACCACAATAACAGTTGAAGGATTTTGTGGTTGTGATGTGGTGCAAATATCTCTTTCGCGTTGACTGTGTTGAGATTGCGAACACGAATCGTGAACACGTGCACGTCCAGGGAGCCGTCCATGAAAGAGAATAGGTGCAAGTTCATCGGTACAAATGTCATCCAGCGCTCTTAAAACCTGACTTGCTGTTTCACTAACAACCGGTTGTCGTTCCTCCCTATTCGTAGCGAACGCACGCTCGAGCATTCCAGCTGAACACACATTATCAGTTGTATTAATTGTTGAACTCGCATGCCCATGAACTGTAGTTGCCGCAACGGTGGATGATTTCTTTCTTTGTGCAGAGCGTTGGGATTGCGAACATGAATCACGAGCATGCACATCTCCAACAACTCCATGAGTGACAAATTCATCTTCATGATTGTGATGATTTCGGAGGGTTAGCTCACCAATTGGAGTTGAACCCACGAGATTATTTTCCTGAGGAACACGATTACGCTTGGCTGTAGAATCAATCGCTTGAGAATCGCTCGTATCGCTATCATCTTCGTCATCATCGAGCAGAGACTTACCGGCCAAAACCAATGAAAAATCAGGCACAGATTTGTCACGCCGATCATAATCATCGTTATAACAGCCAACACGCATTTTTTCAGCATCCTCGAGAGTGCTCGCTTGTTGATGGGCACCTTCAACTTCATCGCGCAGAATATCATGGCCACCAATATTTTTATTTTCATTATCCGATGTATCTTGTTTTTTGCTCTTCCTTGATCGCCTTGACTGGGCCCCTTGTTGTCTAGATGTAACATTCAGAGCACCATCAGTTGTATTGCTATTGACGGTTTGTTTCCTCTTTTCCGTTTGAGCGCGGATCCCATAGGTATGGTGCAGTTCAGATTCGCCTGCAGGAAAAAAAAGAAAATAAGTTTACCAAAATTCAAGACCGATCAGCCGGAAGAGATATATACGACAAAAGAGAAGAACTCATTCAAAAAGTGAGGCGCATGTCCTGGCAACTCGTCCAAAAGAGATATATACGACCAAGGAGAATAAATCATTGCAAAAGTTCATGGGAAACAATATTCTTTGTGAGTAATTTTTTGTCGGGCAACGCAACACGAATGTTGTTGGGATGACCAACGCACGACAAAGCAACATACAACTGCCCATGCGCAAAAACAGGTTTGCTCAACCAAACCCCGACACGAGAGACAGTTTGTCCCTGCGACTTGTTAATGGTCGCAGCAAACGCAAGACGGAAGCGGAACTGTCTCCTATTCCATTTAAACCCAGTGGTTTCACCATCACTTGTTAAATCGATTTTGGGGATCAGTGTCGTTTTACCGGTACGCATTATGGTCACTTCCAACAAATCATCGTCAACAATTTTTTTAAGAATTAACCTTGTGTCATTGTAAAGTCCTTGTTTGGGCGACAAATTGCGCAACAACATCACAGGCGCACCAATTTTCAAGCGCAGTTTGTGAGACGGAAGACCAGACTCATTGAGAGAATTTAAGAACTCCTGTTGGATAGCAAGTTCGTGATCATCAAATGTAGGGTAATTAACACTATAACTTTCACGCACCTCGCCAGGGAAATCGTTGAGAACCATATCGTTAACACACCCCGCATCATCATTGGTGGCGCAGAGAATCAATCGAGCGTAAAAATAGTCAACATCCCCAATGTGTTCACACACATCCTCAAACGTCTTGGAAATCAAATCACGAATAGGTTCATCAGTGAAAATTTCATGCGGCAGTTTGACCGCGGCAGGTTCGTTAGGAACAAAACAAATATGATCCCCATTCCCAATACGCATCAAAAACATGTCATACATTCGCGCCATTGGATCATCCCCTAAGCTTAAGATCCACATATTCTCAGTCAGGCAATGAACCTCAAAGAGTTTCCACAAAGGAGACATTTTGATAGAGGCATCAATTTGTTGCGCTCGAGACCCATGCTTCACAACGGGCAAAACCTGTTGAAAGTTCCCAAAAAGAAATAAAACCTTTCCTCCAAACAGAACGTTACTGTTACAGAGATCTCGAAGCGTAATGTCAAGAGCTTCCAAGTGGAACTTGTTACTCATCGGAGCCTTATCCCAAACGATCAAGTCCGCACGCCGGATAAGTTCGGCAAGATCACCCTGTTTCAGAATATTGAAGGGAAACGTGTTATCAGGTTTCAAAGGTGCTCGAAATCGCGAGTGAAATGTTCGACCACCGGTCAAAAGAGTCTCGGCTATTCCACTTGATGCCACAGCGAGTCCAATACCATTACGAGACCTGATCCCCGCCAAAATAATTTCTATGCAAAAAGTCCTTCCTGTTCCCGCCGGCGCATCTACAAAAGCATACTGCAGTTGTTCTCTTTTACGGCCCGAACAACTCTTTGCACGAGCGCTCGTTGGCGCGGCCGAAGACGGCGAAAATTAGACTCGAATCTAGTTCGCATTTCAATCGGATCATACGACAACTCGTCATTTATAATCAACGATACAGTCCTGTTCTCGTAATGCCTGTTTATGTCGTCGGCAACCGTTTCTCCATCAGGGGTCGGATAATAAAGACCGAACATGCGAATGTTTTTGCCAGACTCGTGCAGGATACGGTCAAAGATCAAAGAGCACCAAACATTGCAAAACGATCGGAGGAAAAATTAGAGAGTCCGAACGATTTCAAAATCATCGCACATTTTGTTCCAATGCCATTGAAAGAATTGAACAGGATCATTGACCGGGCCAAACAGCATAAGCATAACGAACACTTTACGAACCTCTGCAGGCATATAATGGAGTGCGGCCGTCGCTATACATTGATTATATGCATCATCGGTTTGCAAAAGTCCTAATCGAAGACAGACCGATCGGAACGAATCGTATTCGACTCCATCGACAGTACGAATTTCTGCAAAAGTGCGTGCTCCACGAGAGTGCTCATAGTGTAGCAATACACGGAGATAGAAGTTTTCGCCTTCCGTGACCCTGGCATGATGCAATCGAGATATCTTTTCGAAAGGAGCACCATGAAGAGCACGCTTTCTTTTGTTCCACACCTTATGTTGATTATCCCACACATGAGTTTTAATAATGTCAGGATACAAAGGGAGCTCGTGTTTAGGAACATGTGCGTTCAAAGAGTTGTGATTCATCCATACCGTCAATTTTGTGATCGGCGGTCCACGTGAAAGAACACGATTATCCGTGTCCGGTTCGAACACCACTTCTTGCATGTTCTCGATATGCACATACAATCTTTCGACTGCGGGTCACTGTTCTGCAAGGTCGAACTCAAACTGACACCAGCATGCCTCGCACGCACCAACAACACGCATATCTTGATAGGATTTGACTTCATTGACAGGTGCATCATTATCTTGTTCGCAAACCATGGCACGATCACACCCTTTATACACGTACTTATACACATACTTGCACGTCGTGATGTTAGCACAACATTCGACATTGATGTGGCAGTTAAACCTCATCAGCAAGTACGGGTTATACGGGACCACTCGACGATTGTCATAAACAACGCGATTTTGAATGACCATAAAGTCACCGTCACTTGGTTTTCTTCTCCTATAAGAAGGATAAATTTGTTCATCTTTGAAAGTTGTCGTGGAAATAAATTCTTTTAGAAACCCTTTCGTGCACTTTCCGTTCTCGGTACACGAAGCATCCTGTTTGTCCTCACCGCAAATGCCGTGCAGCATGAATTTGACAACCCTTCAGGCGGAATCTCTGCACACACTACGTTGTCAACAACATCTGGATCGCGGATTTTATCATCCGGATGCAAGATGATCAATATGTGTGCATGCGACAGACCCCGTTTTTGGAACTCCACCACATATAACAGTCCATCGACTCTCCCAAAGATCTGTTTTTTCTTAATCTCATCAATGAGCAGGGTGAGATAACCTTTGAACACTCGGGCAAGAAGATAAAGCCTGTCGGTTGCACACTGACCCGGCAAGAGGGCTTGTTGGATCTCCGACCAGTTTGTGTTACACGTCCAAGTGATAAAAAGATCGGGTTTTCCAAACCGCCTCACGATTGCCATGCTGTCAAGATATCTTTCGGCCATATACCGTGGTCCCCAAGTGAAGGTGGAGGGCAGAAGTATTTTTGTCTCGACACCATCACCTTGCTGATTTTGTTGGACAGCGTCTCGCAGGTCCTGTAATATTCTGACCGCAAGTCTTTCTGATAAAATCTTACCCATTTGAAGCGAAGGGATTCAACCTTAGCGTAAGCCATCCAACAAAACTAGTGGAAAAGATGTGCCGCATAAAGGAGGCAAGGCCATTCACCATCACGTTCGTGCAGGTGAAACGCATAGTACTCCTTGGCACTAAGTCCTGGCAGCCATCCAGCTTCCAAGGCACGGCGGACAGACCAACTATCATATTCCTTATGGGAAAAGCAAAACAAACCTCAAACAGTCGTTCACTCGGGAACACTCCGGAACGACAACTGTTGCCTGCTCTTCCAGAAGAGGAGCACGAATCTCAAGCTCACGAGGAAGAAGGTCATCCACCATGAGAACGCAGACCTCATATAGCCCCGTCGGACCGTTGTTACGCCTCGCATGTTCCTCTGCGGGCATGGCATCCGGATTTATGATCAACTTCCTTCCATTCAATGCTCCCAGCGGAAGGTCGGCGATGGTCATGAAGTCCTTCACGCAGTTGTTACACTATTGTAGCAACTTGTGAAACCTTTTTAAGAGTCGTCTCATTGGTGAAGTTCAACATCAGACGTGTGTGCAGGCAAATTAAGGAAATTCACTCTTTGATCAATCGCATCATCCAAACGGTGAGGATCGTGCAAGTAAAGTTGTTCAAACCGAGGACGTTCCCCTTCCCCCACAGCCAATGCACCAACACGATGATAGATCGGACCCTGAGCCCGAAGTTGGCCCTGGAATCCCTGAACGCCATCGCTCGGTTGCTTCAACCGCAAGGATGCGAGAGATAAACTGTTATTGATTATCCTCGCATCGTTTCGAACGAATCAGTCGTCAGGAGTCTGAGACGTCAAAATAGAAAGAATCTCATGCTCCAGGGACCCTTCTCGAAGTCATTCCCACAGAGGACAACGTCGCGTACCTTTTCTGCAACATATTTTTGTCCAATTTTTTTCATGATTCCACAACTTTGCACCACAATACCTGCACGGTTCTCGACCACCAATGCTGAACGCTTGAACCGTGCTAGCATTCGCAACAATAGCCACGGTATTCTGAACATCTGCATACGGTGTTGCCACGGGTACGGACGGGAGTGCATTCATATCAGCAGGCGGATCATCATCCAAATCATTCATTTCCTCATCTTGATTATGCGGCTCGCCATGTTCCCGACTGTTCATTGAGTTTTGAATCACAACGGACTGATTGTGCGACTGCTCCGATCTCCCTGACATACTTCGACATTGGCTCGGTTGAGAACAATGACGATGCGTTTCCTTCAAAGAAAAAGATGCACCCCGCGAATGGCTGGAGACGGTTGCTC